TTTTGGGCCAGCTTTAGCTCTGAGGCTTGCTCCAGCTCTTAGGCCTCGGCTGCTGAAAGCAGGTATCTGGTTTGTTTGGGTTCTATAATCGAAACGCTGTTTCAACTCCAGCTCTGAGATCCCGGCTGGCTGAAAGCAGGTTTCTGGGGTTTTGTTTAGCTTCTATATTTGTAACAATGTTTCAAACTGAAAGCTCAGAGGCAGGCAGCGGCAGGTGGGGAACGTTGGCTTCCCCCATCACTGAAGCAAGAAAGCCTCCTGTTCACTTCAAGCCACCTGGCTGCCGGCCGCCATCTTGGCTGGCAGTTAATTTGCATATCGCCCTGATTAGCCAATGGGAAGGGTAGCGGAGGTATGGCTAATTACCATGTTTCTCTTTTATTAGATAGGATTATTCTTTTCTTATGAGACTAGTAATTTATATTATAAACGGGATGGGGCAAAAGTAGGATTACAGTTTTTCATATGGAAAATAATATAATAATTAAGAAATAATAATACAAGAATAAACTATCTTTCATGTACTCATAACTGTAAACCCGCTTTGCCCCCACCCTCTATAAATATGGTATATATAAATTTCAGATTTATAATTATAGGGTTTACTCTCTAAAAGACTATAATATTTAGAAACTAGAGTCTATTGTTTTGCAATTAATGATTTTATTTATTGTTCTAGGCAGCATATTTATTTTACTTTTTATCTTTATTATCAAAAGTGTTACAAATGCCCCCCTTTTTCCCCCTATTGTACCACACCCTTCCCAGGCCTTCACCACACTATTGTCTTTCCATGGGTTATGGATATATATCCTATCTAATAAAAGAGAAACATGGTAATTAGCCGTACATCCGCTACCCTTCCCATTGGCTAATCATGGAGATATGCAAATTAACTGCCAGCCAAGATGGCGGCCGGCAGCCATGCACTGAAGCGAACAGGGAGGCTTGCTTGCTCCAGTGACTGCGGACTCCAACGTTCCCCGCCTGACTTGCCGGCCTCTCAGCTGCAACTCTAAGCAACTATGTTGCAAATATAGAAGCTAAACAAAACCCCAGAAACCTGCTTTATGAATTTCCACAAGTTGTATAGTACATATGTAGATTTTGGTGTTCTGCCCAGGTGTTCTGATAACAGGGTTTGGAGAGGCTACCATTTATATACTACTACAATATGTAGTTCTATAGTGTTTGCTTTTGTATATTTAGGTATTACCTGTCATTAGGGAAATAGTATTTTTAAATATATAATAAAGAATAAATAATGCTGAGAGGAATAAAGGGTGATTAGATGAAAAAGCCAATGAAAGAACCTGCAAAGCAGCATCCACAGTAAGAAAACCAAGAGCACAGGGTTCTAGAAGCAAGAGAGTTTCGAAAGGAAGAGATGATCGTTATGAAGAAGAGAATGAAACTGTGAAAAGGAAACTTTTAGACAATTAGGAAGTCATTGGTGACTCTGAAAAGATTAATTTCTGTGGATTTACAGAAACCAGACACAGTAAATAATACCCAAATAAGTGGAAAGAACATAAAGACAAAATTAGAGTATACTTTTAAAGGCCTTAGTGAAAAGAGGATATAACAATTTTAAAACTGTAAAATTATCAAATAAACCATCTTACATACCATTTGCTATATAATTTGAATTTCCTAAATTTCGAGCTTAGGCTTTTACATATATATATGGATGTTTTTCCCTATACATATATTATATCTATGATAGTGTAATTTTTAAATTAGGCGCAATAAGAAATTAACATTAATAATAAAATGGAACAATTATAACAACATTCTATATAATAAAAGCGTAATATGCTAAGTGTCTGACCGATGGGTCAACCGTAATGTCGCTTGACCAGTCGCTATGATACTCACTGACCACCAGGGTGCAGATGCTCCAGTAGGTTAGCTTGGGGTCCAGCCAATCGGGACTGGGCGAGAGGGCTGGGCATGCCTTGAAGCCCTCCCACAGTCCCTCTCCAGCTGGCCGGTCCCCATCAGCCTCAATTGGGACTGGGCGAGACGGCCCCAATCGCCAGCCAGGCCAAGGGATCCCACCCGTGCACAAATTTGTGCACTGGGCCTCTAGTATACATATAAGTTCTTTGGTTAATCTCTTCCTGTCCACCCCCTTCCCTCTGAAATTCATCAGTTTGTTGCATTAAATCAAGAGATACAAACAATGATTTTATTAGGATAAATGAAATTTGAGAATTATATATTGTAAAAGAGTTTCAGAATATTTTCTGAATAAATATTCAGAAAACTCACAATACACATTATTTATTGAAAAAAATTACCACAGAGCCTTAAAGCATAAAGAATTATTTCAAAAGAGGGTAGGTTCTCACTTCATTAATGCATCATCAAGCATCTTTTCAGTGAAACAACAGAATGGCTTTCCTTCAATGGCTCAATGATGGGCTCCTCTAGAGAAAACACAAGATGCTGGTACAAAGTTTGTGTTTCTAAATGTGTTCCCATTGCTCCAAACACCCTCCCCCAGTTTTAAAATAAAAGTCAAAAATATACTAAAAATTACTCATTATACTCTCAAGTTCAGAGAAAAGCAGCCTCAGAAATTGAATGGGAAGTCATGGGGAAAACACTAAAGAGTAGAAGTCCAAAAACTGCTAGTGAATCTCAGGAGAGTCAGAGAAGAGGAAGCTGCAGTACCCTCTGCCAGGCACAGGCTAATTCGGGGTTTTGTACAGCTCAAGTCCTCAGAAGCGTGGTAAAAACCTGGATGAGTTGTGTGGATTCTAGTAAAGGACATTTAGGAGGATCTCAAAAGAGTGATTTTCAACCATTTTTATGATATTATTTGCTACTTGTATTTTATTATTAAATCTTTAATACTATTACTTTATCCAATAGATGATGTAAAAAGTACTAATTATAATCACAAAGGAAACGATTGATAAATTGACCTACACTAAAATTAAGAACATATGTTCATCAAAACTCACCCTTAAGATTGATAAGACAGTCTACAGAATTGGAGAAGTTATTTTCAATATGTATGTTTTACAAAGAGCTTGTATCCTATACACATACATATGTATGAATATAGATATAGATATCGGATCTATACTTTGATATAACTCTACAATCAATAAGGGGGGGAACAGAAATATGAGCAAGAAATACAAACTGACACTTCACAAAAGGGGATACCAAAATAGCCACTAAACATGAAAATATGTTCAACTTCCCTAATGTGAAGAAAACTAAAGCTACAATAATAAACACAGAATAGTTAAAATCTACGAGGTGACCATCCAAGTGGTGGTAAGAAGATGGAGCAGCTATAACTTTTATATATTAATATGCTGCTGGTAAAAAGTTAAATCGGAACATCATTTTAGAAAACTGGCAATAGCTACTAAATTAATTATATTCATACTCACAGAATAATTCAACTCCTAGTTATATACACAATAGAAGGACATGCACTTCAATCCATGAGACACATACAAGGTTGTCATAGCAGTATTATGAATAATAACCAAAAACTGGGAGGGGGATGGCCATCTATAGAAAAAGGAATAACTGAATTGTGAATATTTGTTTAATAGAATATTAAAGCAATAAAAAATTAATAAACTTTAGCATGAATGCTGTCTCCCCAACATAATATTGAGCAAAACCAACTAGACAGAAAAGAATATATACAGTATGATCCACTAATATGAAGATTAAAGTGAAGCAAAAGTAATTCTGTTAATCATCAGGATTGTGGTTACTATTAGTGGAGGAAAGAAAGTAGTGATTGATAGGACTTCAGACAATGTAAATAATGTTCTTTTTCTGTAATTGGTGGTATTTAAATGAGCAGGTTCATTTTGTGATCATTCACTGAGTTATATATGCTTAAAATTTGTAATTTTTCTGTATGAGTTATACTCCAATCAAGAATATTTATAAAAGAATGTATGTACTTACATGGAAAGATGTCTAAAATGTACTGTTAAGTGAAAGAGAAAGATGAATAAAACTATTACATTATTTAATTAGTTTTAAAAATAAAATCAGGCTATAAAAATATTTGTATGTATGTGTACATAATAGAAAAAATAGTGAGATGAAGAATGGGAGATTGTTTCTTCTTTTCTTTATAATTTACCATTTCTTTTTTATGAAATACATTAAAATTAAACTATAAATAATAAGTCAAATTATTCAATACTCAGCAGTATGAGGAAACTGAGGTTCAAAATAAAGTAATCTATCTATTGGTAAACAGAGTCGGACATTAATCTCATGTCAAGTTAATGCTGTTAGCATCATGCCATTTTCAGCCCATGGAAAATGTATATCTCTAATATAGTGCTATTACATTGCATAATTACCTAATAACACTCCTATGATTCACCAATCATAACCCCCTGAAACAAAACAATTGTCTGTGAATGAATGAATGATTGTTATTGAATATAATAAATCTACATTTCTCACTAATTTAATGTAATTTTGTTCCTAAAGGTCACGAGAAGAATTTTGGATAACAGTTTCTTCATTTATTTCTTGTGGAAGGAAGGCCCACAGTTAAATATGGATGTGGAAGTTCCCCAAATAGCTTGACTCTCTCTGCTAATTATAGCACTAACACAAATGCATTCATCCCTATCACCATACGGTAAGTGCTCCACAGTCGTTTTTTAAACTGTAGTGCTGAGCCTTGTTTTTTAAGTGGTATTTATATGGATAATAGTCACCCAAATACAGAAAGACAAAAGGTTTCATCTGAAATTGTTTTGGTAATCCTTTTTTTTTCAGTTTGGTGGAGGACTAGTGGGCATCTAATCCTGTCCAAAGGGTTGTTGAACGTTGGTCCTATCAAAAACATGCATAGTTAATATAAACCCTCTTTTCTGCATGTCCCTAACCCCAACCCATCTCCCTAACCCATGTGCCATTACCAGTTAGATACCTGTTACTGAGGCAAGAAGGGTTATTGTTGGCAGTACAGCCACAATATAGGTATTGTACTAATAAAACATGGTAATATTTTTAATATATTAGTCCTATGAACCACAAGTATACATAAATATTATGGGCTATTTGAATCAAGGACCATTTGGCCTGGACCACATGTCTCATCTCAGTGGATGTTTTAGACAAGACCAAATGGTAGTGGAGTAAATGCCCTAGCGGTTTGGCTCAGTGGAGTAAACTACAAGTTAAACTAAGATTTAATTTGACACAATCAAATTGTACACAAAAGGAATCAATTGTTTTCAGAATATAATGGAACAAATAAATAGTCTGGTTGTTCAGGTAAAGCTAAGGTATAGTTCAATTGTTTAACAAAATATCTATTGAGTGAAAAGAGTACAGCTGCATTGACTGCACAGAAAAGGGAAAAACTGAATATTAAATGGAAATATCTTTCTGGAACAAATAAAGTTTTGAAAATCAATCTTAAAATTAGTTCATGCTTCAGTATAAGGGAATCTCAGGAGAGAGAAATGGCTAAAAGCAATGGTTATATCCCAAGGGTATTACTGAACAAAATTTTCACATACCAATCAAGAATTTAAAATTTTTCATCAGTGCAGCAAGCTAGCAATTATGGTCTCTAAAGTAACTCTCAGTTAAAAAAATATTTTGTGTCTGAGTTTGCATGCTATATGACAGTTGGATAAGTTAGTCTGATCGGCAGGAATCTTGGCTAACCTATGAAGGTGGTATAAATCAAATAAACTTCCAGGGTCTGCATCAATCTGAAAATGAAATCAAGGGAATTGACAAAAATCTGAAAATGGAAACTCCTTATAAAGGCAGGGAGAGTATTTTACTCATTTTTAATGTACTTAGCCAAGGCATCAGATGGAAAGTTGCTCAGTAAATGTCTGAATAAATAGATGAGATATCTAGGCTGAGCAATTCAGTTGATTATGACAAGACAGCAATGAAATTACCCTAAAGTACAGAAATTATTATTCATAAATTAAGCATACACTTTTGGAACACTGAGTTCTGTATGGATAAAATAAATTTTCAGAGCAATGGGCTTACTCCAATTTCAATCATCTCTCTTACAAAGGTTAGCAGTTGATACCAACAACAACAAAAAAGAGGCAAATGAGAAGTTGAATAACAATTTAAAAGGGATTTCTATTGATAATGTCATCCTTTTAGATAATACAATCATTTTAAACAAACAATGGCACATATTTAAAATAAAATTAGGAGTAACCCATAGACACAGAAAATAGTGTGGTGAAGGCCCGGGGGAGGGAGGGGGCATGTGGAGAGGGTCAGTGGGGGTATAAGGGGACATCTGTAATACTTTCAACAATAAAAAATAAATTTAAAAAATAAATAAAATAAAATTAGGAGTAAAATTGTGACTGATTAATACCAGAGTGAAAAGAGAGGTGTCAAAAATGAATATTTACTTCCTGTTGTTCAATGTATAGAAGATTTTATTGTTGAGATAACAAGCAATGAAAGAAGATTTGATAGAGAAGATTGTGAGTTCAGGCTTGAGCATAATGAGATTAAGGTGCCTGTGAAACATAAAGTGGAGTTTGCAAGTTGAACATATGGATATAGACCTCAGAGAAGAGGTCTAGATAGGAGATATAAATTTATGAGTCATCAGTGTGCAGATGGTCATTGAAACCACGGGTGTGGATGAAAGTATACAGTGAGTAGAAAAAATTGCCTGGACTGAGTCTTGAGGAGCTAGCATTTAATGACTGAGTAGAGGAAGATGAAACTATAAAAGGATCTCAGGAGTAACTAGAACAGTAGGAAGCAAACAAAAGGAGTGGGGTGTCTGGGAAGGGAATGGAAATGTTTGTCAGATGCTCTGATAGTCCATTGGACTATCCACAAGATCCCATAGCCTGAAGAATTCATTGTATGGGGATAGCGTAAGAAACCAGATTGGAGAAACTTGAAATAACAAGAGTAGACCACTCTTTCAAAAAGTTTAACTGTGAAGGTGTAAAAAGAGGTAAGATGGTAACTAGAGGGAGGTGATGAGTTAAGAGGGGGAAAATGTAAGATGACAGAGATTTAAGCATGTTTAATTGTCAATCAGAAGGTGTTGATGCATAGAAAAATAGAGTAATTGAGTACTTAAGTCACTTAGAAGTTTGGAGCAACAACATACAATATACATGAGAAAATATTCCTTCCAGAGGGTAGGAAATAGAGAAAGACACACACATTGAGACTTCTGTCTTTGTGTACATCCTTTGATGTATGACTGCCTTTTGCTTTATCCCTATCTGTCCAGTTGTTATGTCACCTTCTCTCTCTGCCTTGTGTACTCCAGTCTTACTTCTCCATCCTTAACTGGGCATAGTTTAAAACTAATGGGTCTTTTTGTACAGTTCATCCTAGCTATCCTAATTCTCACTAACAGGACTCTTTCTATACAAATTCATAATAAAGTTTACCCTAAAAAGCATGTGAATTAGGTTATTTTTAATTGTATGAATGTTGATGTCATTTCTCTTATATTTAAGGGTTCTTAACAATAAAATACTATCACCTGGTTAAGAACTTATTTTTTAATTAATAAAATGAGCTCTAAGGTAAACATGTAAAAGATGCTTTGAATTTTATTTTGCTATTAGCCCCGGAGAATAAACATGTCAGTATTTCTTCATACTAAATCTGCATTACAGCTGTAGGATAGATAACAGAAGTAGAACAAACTCAAATAAGCCACTTGTAGTGATTGAGGTCAATTCAGTACCAAGATAGAAGTTCTTCTTAAATGAAATGGAGCAGAGATCACAGTTCTACAGATACATTGTAATTCATACTCATGCACAGTTTGTCTTTCATTTCAAAAAAATTTTGAAAGAGATCACATAGAGAGTCTTGGTTTTCACAAGGGTTATTCTCCTTTGGGGAAGTTCAGAAAAATTGTCACACACTATATATATAGTTTTTAAAGTTTCTCAAGTTTAAATTTTTCGGACACTTTTTGTGTCTGTCCTATAGAAAAACTGTCTCTTTATCTATTATTTTGTTCTCTAAAGAAGTCCTGTGTTCTTTCCTCAAGGTAATTTACTGTGTTATCTGCATGTTTAAAAGCCACACAGCCTATTCTACCTTCATTATATTCTGCCACCTCAAACACCTGACACCATTTTCTCAAAGATTTATCCAGGGGTGTAAAGTTAGCCATGCATATATCTAAGTTACACTCTAATATCTAATCATTAATTTTGGTTAACAAGCTCTGAGGGTATCCAAAGCCTAGTGGATGTTGGCCAAGAATTGCATGACTGCAGAACAACATGTCCTTATCAGCCATTTTGCAGTAGCAGGTCAGTGTAAAGAAATGCATGTTTGGTTTAAGACCAATTGAACAAAAGCTAGAAATGTTTCTAATATTTGGGCAGCAAGAAGCCTAGCACTTGAGAAAACTCAAACAAACCAGGTAAAACCATTGCAAGCATTTTTGTCACATTACCTTCTTATATATTTGGCCCAGAAAACAAAACAAAAAAAAAACTAAAAAAAAGCTGTTGCTGAGTTTTGTAAATGGGCTCATTTCTACCTCCTGTTTTATCTTATTTATCATTTCCCACAGTTGTTTGATGAAGAAAGTACATTAAAAATGTATTAGAATGCAAAACCAGCATTAACCTCAAAAGAATAGGAAATAAAAAAGGATTCTGAGTAGGATTGATTTGGGGTAGATCAATTGAAGAGATTTACTAGTGAATAATTTATAAAAAATAAGAAAGGAACAAAATAAAACTTCTTATAATAACCATATTTAATTTGTCAAAGACCTTTCAAACAACTCTCCTCAAAATCAGGTTCTATTTCTTTGCAATTTTCCCACTTTAATTCTTTGTACTACAACTTGCTTTCCTGCTGGTATTGACTAATAACTCCACATAGAGAATGAGCAGGAGACTTACCCAAGTTTATGTAAGAAGAAAGAATGTCCATAGTGTATTATCAACATAGCTTTGAGAATAATTCAGAAAGTCCTTTGCGTTTCTGATTTTCTAAAATATATAAAAGTTTCTCACATATTCCTGATAGTCAATGTTATATGGATTGCCTGCTTTTAGTCTTAGAGCCAAGAAACTATGTAATAGTGAGAACTTTCACTTTTTGAAACAGATGGTGACTTTTGAACTGTGCTAAATCTAAAAGATATTAGATTTATTCCTAAAACGTTGCCATGTCAATATGGAAAGTTTGGCAAGCTTTTCATCTTAAAAAGGTCAAGCCATTACTTCAATATTAATTTCTGTATCATTTCCATCAACTCCTCCATCTGGTATTTCTTAGAGGAAATGTAGGAAAACTAGAGCTCAATATGGGAAATACAGATAATACTTTGTTATTAAATTGACATGTATGTAAATACATAAATCTAAACATTGCTCTTGCTCCTTAATCAATACATACTAAACTATTCATACATACATAACATGCCCATACATAACATACATCAATACTAGCTGGACAGCAATTTTATAGTGTAGTTTATTTGTATTCAATTATGAATATTCACTGTAAAACTAAAATTTATTTCACTAAATATTAAACTTAAGAAAAATTTTAAAGACTCTCTTTGGGTCTACAAGTTGATAGTTTTAGTGTTGTTTAGGATTACAGGATAGAATCTTCTGCTAACGTATATAGTTG